TTCTCAGCATTCTACCACTGCACGAATGGGTGCATGTCGTCTGTTCAATAAAGCTCTAATAGCTTTCGTGTTTTATCAACAACCAGAAGCCACCATACTCCACAACAGGCGCCACCCATTCGCCTAAGGCTACAGTAAAGCCTACCAGCCACCATATTTGGTGCATCGGCCAAAAACACAAGACCGATCACTACTCGCCTCAGCTACACAGAGGTTAGCTATTCTAACCTTGGGACCTAGCGCCCAGAATCCGCTGCCTCGCACCTAGCGACAGCCATTCTCCTCCGCATCAGGGACTAAATCTTCCCAATTTTCGCACAAAATTAGCGAACGGCTCAAAAAGCAGCCATATTCTTCTAACAGTTTTTGAACATCATAATGCTCTAAATTTTTTTAAAGAGGCAATCTCATTTCACTCAAAAGCATTAGCAAATCTGCTCGAAAAATTTGACTCCTACAACTTCAAGCTCAGGTTCACTTTAGAAATTGATAGAGAGCTTCAAAAGAAATGTTTCGAAAACTTAGATATTCTCCTTTTTTGCCTTTCACAAATTAAAGCAAAAACGACAGTTTTGGACTCAACAGTCGACCAGTTTGGAGAATTTTATCTCAAGCAGTCTAAAAACGAGAAAAAAACTGTCATACTCCAGCTAGAAAAGCTTGAAAAAGAGCTTGACTTTCACCAGTTGCTTTCGGATGCTAATGTTTTGACTGTCGCTGTGGAATATCAGATAGTATATGCAAAAACATACAAGAATTTTGTATCAAGTCAAGTAGTTAGAGAACAGCAATCCAGTCTTTTAAACCATTTTTTACGTGATGTGGAAAGGGAAAGCAATGCTCTAGCAATTATGATGAATTCCGCGACGATGGAAGAAGACAATGAAAGTGAAGATGGCCTCAAACAATATTTTGAAGAATGCACAACTGTGGCTCGCGGAGATGCCATGGATGGCACCATACCAGCAACAAAGGATAAATTGAACTCGCAAGCAACCACGACTAAGGAACGTCGATCCAAAGGATGCAATGATGTATTCGGAAGGCGCAAAACTGTGAAGCGACAACCTACAAACAGTAAGAAGACTCCGACTCATAATCCTTACTCTGTATTTTCGTCGCTCAAAAATGAAAGTCGACTACGTCATGATGATCTGGGATACTCTGCCTTACCACAGTCTACTTCCTCACCATCTCACGCTAGCTGTCATGACTACATCAATCTGGACTCCGAACCCATCTGCCTAGCTGCTCAGGAACGTCCACTAGGATATCCCGACAAATATGTACTTCTACATATCCAAGTGTTACTTATTTTCGTGAATTGCACGTTTTTGCTCTCTATTCCCCTCACTCGCCGGAGTGTGCCGACTTTGTCGACACCTTCCTTGCAACTTATCATTAATTCTGCTAAGCACCGTAAAGGTCATGCCATAAGCATGACCTGCTGTGATATGAGTGTATTATTGCCCAGATGTTTGTGACACTTCCTTACCACGCCTTCAATTATCAGCATTCTACCACTGCACGAATGGGTGCATGTCGTCTGTTCAATAAAGCTCTAATAGCTTTCGTGTTTTATTAACACACCAGAAGCCACCATACTCCACAACAGGCGCCACCCATTCGCCTAAGGCTACAGTAAAGCCTACCAGCCACCATACAATATCTTTGGGCGCAAACGCGGCTTCTTTGGCCGCAGAGCGCATGAGACGCAGGTTTTATAATAGTGAAGATACGCGTGCGCCGCATTCGCGCCCGCTCAACTGATACCGCTTCTGCGCCTTCGTCATGCAGTAGCCTTTAGCATGGATGGTTTGGAATTCGTATAAAGCAAGTGCACAAACTTTAGATAATCTTCTCATATTGTTTTTTTTTGAAGCTTGCAAATATGATTGAAGATTAATTTACCCCAGAAAAATCACTGCCTAGAATTAATTTTTCGAATTCATTGAATCGATGCATAGACAAAGATGGAGAAAATGCCCACAATTTTTACGACGAAGTTCTCAATTGTAGGACTTGTAGATAGGTTAGCAGCAATGGCGAATTTAGATTTAATCTGACCTCATGGTCGATTTTCTCCTCGACTTTTGGTGAAGGGGATGACCATGCTCATAGCCCAGGAGTGAAAGGGGTGTGAGCAAATACTCACACTATGGCACCTTTGCTGTCAATGCTTGAAATCAGTTACCTGCCGCATACGCCGAGCAGAACAAGGTACCATTTGATTCAACTGGCTTGGCATCGGCAAAGGCGGGCTTCGTGACTTAATTAAGGCTAGGTATGATCAGAGAGCACTCGCGCGAGAGAGACGCAGGTGTCGGGCGCGAGCGGCCTCAATTATAAGCTCCTGCAAGACGAAGGCGGTCGATTCAATGCGCAACGCGGCTGCGACATAGCCTGCGTCACAGCCGAGTCACAGCCGCGACACAGCCACGTTGTACCTCGAACCGACCGCCTTCGTCTTGCAGGAGCTTATAGATCACAAAACCCCGCCCTAATGGTGCCAAGCCAGTTTAAACAAAGGTTAGTGAGCCAACATGTCATGCGTTTTTTTGGCGATAATTAAACGAATGCTTCAACACAGTGAATACAACTTGACGTCCATTTGTTCTTGTCGCGCGCGATCAATGACTAGTGTTTACTATCGCGCTGGGAACACAAACCTTCTGAAACACTTCATTAAAGGGCTTCAGAACCTATTCCAGCGCATTGGCTGTCTCTTCCTAGTGCGACATGTAAATACTAGTCAATAATCGCCCGCGACAGGAAAGAATGGAAGCATCGCTGGTACTCACTCGTGCAACATGATGATCAAGGGAAATACAAATGATACAGGTAAGAATCCCATCCATCACAACTGCTTATCTATAAGATATGAGTGCCTATTTTCTGGCATCATCTCTTCTGCCGCTCATGTACACCTATGGTGCCGATATTAGAAGTCAAAATACACTTTGCTGCTCAGGCCTTAATACCATACCAGAGTAGCTTTGTCTATAGTTGACAAAATTATCTTTTCCTTGGACAAGAACATTGGCACAAAACGCAGCAGGATTATTCTGAGTGAGCTAATTGTAGGTACGATGAACAAATGTCTGGAAACTTTAGTGCGCGCAGCTAGTAGAACTATTGATAGCAAGGTGCCGGGAGAAGACATCGGCTAACAAGGTCATCCTTCCAGGAGCAATCGCAAAGGACGAATTACATTCGCGGCAGCATTTACAACACCCTACGTCCACTGAAGGATCGACCACAGATTGTCGCCGGTCGCCAGGTTGCCGCGTCGTTCGCGTCAACAGTCGTTGTAGGACCTCATAAGCAACCTCGACAACGCCGGCAGACCTGGCAACAGTTGCCGGCGACCTACTCAGACACTCGCTGTTGACTCGCGCCGGAGATCCGCCCCTTTTTGAGGGATTCGCGGGAAAGGGCGTAGACATGCGCGAGACAATATTTTGACAGTTTTTGCGGATGGTCGCGAAAGGAAATCGGGAGGTAATGTGTGACTCAGCGAGCAGTTTCGCAATATCGACGCGCGTTTCAAATCTCAGCTCACATTGCATCATTTCGGGTTTTTTGCTACTTATTTTCTAAATTCGTGCATTCCATCCGTCCTACCTAAGCCCTCTTCTTTCCGTTATTTCATTCCAATCCAAATTTAACTTTATTTGAAATCAATTTTGAAGCTTCTTCTCTAGAAATCGAAGCTCGACTATCTCCGTGATTGTGGGATGTCACATTTTGTCTTGTCACATTTTTATAAGTAGCCTCCTCTGTTTCCTCATTTCGTACCTTCTTCTCATTTTTAAGGTTTCGCTCTGGATGCTCTTGGCTTATACGTTGATGATTTGCTGTTACCAGCTTCAGAATTAATGAGGAACCCATGATGTATGTTTTGGAGAATCCTAAGTTTGCACTATTATTTTTTAATGGTTTAGATGGTGGACAAATCTTGGAGGACGACAGGGAGCGATCAAAAGCCTTCGAAGTGCTCGCACAGGCCAGGATGGATTGGGCGGTCTTCGCTCGCATAGTCCTCGGAAGAGCCTTGTAAGCTATTGGAGTATTAATAAGGCAGATGGACACTCCATCTTGCGTTTTGCAGGGGAGATATACGGGCTTATGTACTATGCGGTCAGACCTAAACTCCTTCCTCTAAAGGTAAGATGCCAGTGCACTATTCCCAGTCTTCGTCGACATGGTTTTCTCTTTTCAGGAGAAGCGTGTGATCGAGACTACGGCAAGCAGCTCTTCTGCTGTCAAGGAAATAGAAAAGACCAGCCCCGACGAGTTTTAGCCCATCTGCTACTACTTTTTTCTAGTTTGCTGTACTTACATATTACTATCATATCATTTGCCTTAACTCTACTCCCGCTTTTGCGTATCATTATTTGCATTCCGAGATTCTCATTGTTTAAACGGTTACCAAGTACACTTCTATCTCATCATGTAACTTCGCTCTTTTTAACACGTTTCTCCTGAGTTTTCAACGGAAGTGCCCGAGATTAACACGTTCAAAAGTGCGAAAGGCAGCGAGATGACGTGGTACCCTATGGGAATCTTGCTGGGAAACAAAAGATATATGTATATGTATACCTTTATATATGTATATATAAATATATATAATGTATATTTGTACATACACATATAAGTATATACATATATGTAATGTACAGCAAGTAGGGATATAGCGAAATTATTACTGCGAGATAACGCGCTCCAGTTGCGTCAGGACATCAAGATGTGTCGCCCTCGAGCTGCCGTATTTCCTGCAAGATGCGGGCGCGTCAAAGCGTTGTCTCGGGCAGCATTGTTCCGACACATAATGCTGCCTCGGGATTTCGTCGCGAGGCCGATTACTTGTGTCGCGCCTTCATTCAGCGCTTACACAAAACTTTGGGCTGCACGGTTCAACAGCGAATGTCTGAGTATGGCCGATTCCTCAGTGAGATTTGAAGGGTTAAAATTTTAAAACAATAAAAAGGGAAACTTACTTTGCAGAATACATTGCAGGTGCCCACGGGTGGTGCAGCGCACACCCTCCAAGGCTCAATGCAGGATGGCCTGCTGCAAATGCCGCGTGCGTGCCTGAAAGCGTGCTCATATATCGTAATACGAAAAGCAGAAGTAATGTACGAAAAGCATATACGAAAAGCAGTAGTAATGATCGAAACACGAAGTACATACCCTCCAAACGACAAAATCTACTAGACAGGGTGACAACAATGCTTCAGCTAAATGCAGGACTAAAGCTAATGCTCAGTAATTATGTCTATCGGCCAATAAACTCTGTTTGGTAGTTGCATGGAAGGCAAGAAAGCTGGAGAAGATAACATGTACTGTGCCTTCATAGACATCTAATACAGGGTCTCCCAAAAAGATGTGCCCACTGTTTAATCGTCAATTACTCTCTTGCTTTCATGTCTTTTGCCGAGTTTAAGGTATCGAGGGGTAAAGTGAGGTTCAAATTAGTTTTGTAGTATGAAGCAATCACCAATCGCTCTTCATTACTGTATGATTACCGTATAAACTTTCAGCACACATGTTCACTAAGCACAAGCACGAGATAATTAGAATAATCCCGTGATGATGTTTTTTGGAGCATTTCAAGCAAGCCCTATGAAGACGTGAAATTTCGAGGTGACAGAACTCTAGAACTTGACCTCTCTGTTGCTGAACTCTGTTTTACAAGAAAAATAAAGAGTTATCTTACATATTAGGTTGACGAAAAAGTTCATATCGTTTTTTTTATAACTGCTCGCAAATCCCATAGAACATAAGCACTGGATAATATTAGGTTGTAAAAAAAGTTCCCGGGTACTTTTGGGAATTTCATTTTCAAATGCATTTTTTTCAGCGCTCGGTCGGACTTTAACACCAAGTTTTTTATACTGTTAAGTAGAGGGAACCCTAAAGTTTTCAAAACCGCTTCTGATTTTTAACAATGCCAAAAGGTGCTTAATCTGGACACCAAAAAAAGGGAACCTTTCCAACCATAAAAATTTCACAATTTTTTCTTTCTATGGCCATTTTTTCGCGCACTTCGAGGAATTTCGTCCAAATCATGGGTGATCAAATTGAGTAGCCTGCTAACTTTTAACTCGCAGCTGCACACTCCGAGAATAAAATTATCACAACTTTTTGAACACGTGCCAAGCTGTACCCGGGAAGAAGCGATAAACGCTCATTCGCTTGCAGAATTAGTTTTCTTTTATAACCAAACACTGAGGCCCGTATGCACGTACATCCCCGCTGGAAAGGGGAGGGGATCTGAGAGAGGATGCGTCATATCTCGATACTTCAGCTATCTTTCTTCTTCTTTCTCTACTTTGCTTATGAAGGTTCTCACACTCTTATATCTGCGCATAGTGGGTGCCAGGTTTTTGCCATTTTGTGTGACATATAGTATATCCTCAGTACAATTTTGCAGCATTTTCATTGACTTCTCAGAGAGAGAAATTACTTTGAAAATGAGAGATGATCCCCGGGGATCCCCAGGGGATCCCCAAGGGATCCACAAATTGGCAAAAAAAGCAATCATGTTTGACAGTAACCTGGCATTCATTATGCGCAGGTATAAGGGTATGAGAACCTTCATAAGTAAAATAGAGAAGGAAGAAGAAAGATATCTAGAGTAGCGAGATATGAATCATCCCCTCTCAGATCCTCTCCCTTCCCCAGAAAAATGTACGTACATATGGGCCTATTTCCAGTTCCCAAAGATTAAACAGTGAAACGTTTGTGCATTTTGAGATTTCGCAAAGAAGATTTCCGGAAAAATGCCTTGAGAATGCTCAAAAGCCAACTGAAGATGTCCAAAAAAAATTCGTTGTATTGCATATCTACTCTATCCAAGTGCTAGAAAAAAGATCTTGAAAGAGTGTGAAACAGAATTTCCAAAATCAGTTAACATTTCCTAAAATTAGCTAACACTTCCCTTTGTAGTGTGGCTTGGTTGGTCTGTGTTTTCACTCACCATTTTTTGGTGCACCTCGAGTGTAACAGATAAAGATAAAGATAAAGATAACATCAAGATAGGTAAAAACAATGGGTTGGAAATTCTGACGAATATAGAGCAACCATACATCTCTCGACAGAAAATCACTGCTGAGAAAAAGGAAAATTTTCTGCGTCAACTTTTCAAAACTTCTGTCTATCATTACTTTGAACAACTTGGGATAGGCCTAAAAACGGCATAAACTTTTGGACCAACCTAATATTACCGGCCTATAGTTCGTAGCGTTTTCATAAACTAACGAACAAATTTTCAACTTCGTTTTTACAATACTAGCAGCTCTGGTCCCAAAAAAGTCGTCTAGCAAACGCCTGAGATAGTCTCTAAACGGAACAAACCGTTCATACGTTTGCAGGAGAGCGAGACGGATGACAGTCTGGTGGGGCGATGTCCGAGAAGTATATCGGATACTAACATGCCTTCCAGTCAAGTCTTGCAATGCAGTTTTGACGACGTTTGCCGTACGAAGCCACATTTTGTAATGCGGAAAAACTCATTGAACCTGTCTTTTGAGTCATTTTTGCAGAGGTACTCATTTAGAGTGCGCATTTGGGTTGCGGGTATGATCGACTGTTTTTTCCTGTCTAGTAACTTTCAGTGCAGAACCTCATGCCCGTCCTGCAGTAAGTCCTGTTCAGGAGACACTGTAAACTCTCGTTTTGGTTGGAGCACTCTTTCCTTTTTTGTCTCATACTAACAGAAAAGCTATATTTTTCGTGATCGGCAAAAAAATCTATGCAAAAAACAATTTGTGAGAAGAATGAGCATATGTCGAAAATGCTCTTGTTGTCTTTGAAAAATCCCACATTTTTGAAAATCGAAGTGGGTTAACTTTCGAACCAACAAATTCGTTATAGAAGGCATGATTAGCTCTTTCTAACGATATGCACAACTTGCCGCAAATCAACCGCCATCCAGAGAACTGAGGACGAGAATGAAAACGCTACGAACTTATGGAATGACCCAATAGATACAGATAGAAATGATACCTTAAGCTTCTCTGAAGAGTCGACAAAATATGACTTTGGTCGGATCAAAAAACAACAACTTGATAAAATTTAATGGGACTAGTTGGGAAAACGAAAGACAGTGCTGTACTCTGTTTGCTTAAACAGCCACCAACTCTTTCTAAAGTGTAAAAATGAAGGTTTTGAGATAAGTTGGACATGGTAAAAACCATGTTCGAGACTTTGGGATTAATTCATTGGCTACAAGAGTAAACGCTTCGGAAAGTGAAAGGAGGAAGAAGAACTGCGTTGAATCCAAGAGTTGCCCACTTTCATACACGTTTTATGATACTTCGAAAAAACGAAACTTTTAAGTCGACCTACATAATCTATGAAGAATAAGTCGCTGTTAGTCTGCGACTGATCGTGTAGGCATTCGGTCGCATAAGCTTCAGAAGATTTTGGCTTGAACAAAACATTACTGACATGTAGTCTAATGCGCTGTAGACATGCTATTTGCTTATTGCAGCATAATTTTTATTTTACCGCTTGTAAATGTGCACGTTTGCGCATGCCGATCACATAAACTTGTTACTGGAAGAAGTGATCATGCCATGTAGTTACACGCATCATCTTTAATGCTTCCTTAACAATAGGTCAAGTCCAACTTGATTGCATGACTTCTGTGGAGGCTCCAAACCTTCACAATCTCTCTCCTTTCGTAGGCTCACAAGCAAAAATCTGGGCACTCCACCCGAGTCAGCTATCGCTTGAAGGCGGCAACCGAGCGAGGTGGGTGTCGTGAAATTTCACTGCCACAGAAAAACGCTATCGCATAAAAGCTGTAAGGTTATGAGAACAAATCGCTTAGCAAGTGAGAATACGTACGCTCAGAGGGACAACCGGAGCTTTCCCTCTTACAAGGGACGGATACTCGGTGACCGTGGCCGTTAGAAATGAGATGTATACCGTAAGATGCATCTCGAAATGCTGATCTGAATTTGTGCTCGATATCTGCGAAACGATCGTCTGAAAGAAGTTATGAACTTTTTTAGTAGGAAATAAGCATACTTTTGAAAAGTAAAAATCACCAAATTCGTCTTAGGTTACCGTTTGAAGCTATTGAAGGGAATCTTCAGAGGAATACTGTTGTATTATACCCATCTAAATCATATTCAGCGTTTGATAAGATTAGAAAATTCTTCGTTGATGATTTTGATTCTCCGCAGTAGCACAGTTTATTCATGAAAAAATAATTATAACTCCATCCAGATTATCGTTTCGCAGATATGGAAGACAGCATTCGAACCAGCATTAGAAGGCGCATCTTTTGACATAGAAACCATCAAGAGTGGCCACGGTCACCAAGTATCCTTTCCTTGTTAGCGGCAGAAGCGCAGGCCACCACAGTTAAGTCTACGGGTCCCACTACGGTTTCGCATCTTAGCCAAAAAAGTTCTACTTGTCCGAATGATAGCGATAGTACGCTCCAGGAAAACTTTGTTCCGCCGTACTTGCATTCTTTGACGTTTATATTGAAAAAGCGGTTAGTCCCGGTAGACGAAAAAGCTAGAAATTTTGAAATTTCGACCACTGCCTCAAAGCGCAGAAGGCTAAACTTGCCTCGTATAAATTCGGTTCAAAAAATCTATTGACTTCCTTTGCAAGGTGAACATTGTCCCACGTAAAACGTCCTTTGGCAAAAAGACCATAATTGGCTTTGTTTATAGAAGTGCTTGTAAATAACCGTCACAAGGTGCCATACACTCGACAACCCACGAAGGGGGCCTCCATGAACATGACTCCCTCCAAAACGATGGGGTCTTGTCCTAGGTTAACTAGTTACATTTACTGCCGCTGAGTTCGGTGGGAAACAAGAACTAGGCACCAGCAATAGTAATCAGCTTTCTGGCAAAAATCACCCTTTCCTGTAAAATAAGCGGAGTACTGATGTGGTGCAGCTAAACAACGATGCTTTTGTATGGAGACTGCTCAACAGCCAACGCTTGGCAGTAATCTCGCCGGTACCGCCGGTATTAGTTCGTCATCCGCCCTCTTCAAATAATAACGCCAGGTTTGCTATATTCCGCTGCATGTTTTACAGAACAAAACCATTGTGATGCTGTTGCGTTCCAGAGCACT